AATATAAGTCGAATCTATATATGCGTATGAAACATAATGCCGAACGCTATAATCAAAAGTTAATTATAATTATCAAAATAGCGTCAATAATCAGAACATCCAATTTCAATATTTTTTTTTCTAATTTTCATTATCATTAAAATTGTCTATCGATTATTCAGATGCTAAAATTTTCATATAATGATGACATTAATAGTGTTGATTGTTCTCAAAATCATTACAAAAATTATTATTGTTATCTAAAAAAGAAAAACGTAGAAGCATATTTTAGAACCTGTTGAGGAAAAACTATCTGATTCGGTTACATTTTTCCAAAATTTTACCTGAATTTTCTTAAGACTTGATACATTTGAGTGCCAGTATCCACATTGTTACCAGCAAATCCGCTGTTAAACGAAATCCAATTTGAACAGAATCTATAGTAAAAACAAAAAAATGGTTGGATAATGCAGTTGAAATGGTTTACCTTTAGTGATTCTGACCTGATTAACTGTGTCAATACAAGGTGAATCAATATCAAGAAGTTTTTTCCTTCTTTGAATATTCGATCGACAATCTTTAATACAATTTACTTGTATTCTTTTTATCATCTCAAATTAGCAAGAGGCAAATTTTTTCCTGCTACTAGTGTTGAAAATCGAGAGAAAAAGACTAGAAATAAATAAATCACATTCCTACTTACAAGACTGCCTGTATTAAAAACTCATATTGATACATCGGTCCTGTCCTATCAAAGAATACTAGTTGATTCTAAAAGAGAACTAAACGTTTGACTCAAAGCAGTATTTTTACTTTATGATTTCTCATAGGCTTGACTATTTTTTTCGACTGTTTATAATGAAGCTGAATATTTTTTATGCTGATCGAACGAAATATGATTATGATGAGCTCTAGTATATAAATGCATTATAACCACTAAACCTTGAATAAAAACTCAATTATGTGCCATAGAAAGAATTCATATATATATATATATATATACTTCATATTAGCATAAACATCTGATATGAATGAAATTAAACTTTCCAGTATGCTTTCCAAACACATTAAAACAATGAGCAAAGCAGAACAATGATCTTTGTCTCGATTGTCTAATCAAATGAAAGATACGATACGTACATCAAATGCACTAATTACTTTTTTCTTCACTGTGAAGTATTTACACGTCTAAAGTTACTGTATTTGTCCTTTTTGTAAATTTATATCGAAATTTTGGTTACTCAAAAGTACATTTACATCCGATTATTTTAAAAAATCTGATTAATTGCGATTAATCATTCCGATTTCTCACCGATTACGATTAATCGATTTTCTTTTCAATATCGCGATAAAATCTGATTTTATCGTCGATTTTTCAACGTATTTCGATTAATCGTGATTTAACGTTCATTTTTCAGAAAATCGCGAAAATCGCGGCGATTTTCACGACATGGGTGCTAAAGTTAGTTCGGAAATAAATCCTCAATGATCTGGCTATATTGTTCGAGAGAAAGATCTCTGTAGCAATGTCAATAACTATTTTTCGGCATTGAATTTTCAGAAACGACTTGCGCCATTTCTTCCTTCGGTTCCTTATTCGTTTCGCCAAATTATCATGCTTGTGTGCTAGTGGACTTGCAAAGTCCCATTTCGTCTCGTCAATGAACTCGCGAATTTTTTTTTCGATTCGGCAACTTGATTATACTATCCGATAGAGCTCATGGGTTCCTGCTTTGTAACATATTTTATGGACCACAGTCAAATGAGATGGAAAACTTCACTGAAAATTTCTTGTTTATATTTATTTACATTGACAAAAATGCGTGGAAGATATAAGAAGTTTTGATATATGTTTATATTTAATCTAAAATCAAACAAAAGCATATATAAATTCTAGTAACCGACAATAGAAAGTTAAAATCAAATAAAAAAAAATGATCAGTATAACTGCACAGAAAAACAGAGTCTCAATCAATATGAAAAAGCACTTTTATTTTTTTTTGTTTATGATTGACGATATTTACTCATACGTTGACGACTATCAATTTCGATTTTTTGTAATAGACGATAAATTTCATATTTATCTTTATGAAAATCTGCCATTTTGAGATCTGGCATATAAGTTTGAATTGGACAAGCTATACCATTTAATAAATCTTGTACTTGTCGTGGATTATCTGCTATTAATTGACCACATATAGCTGCACCTAATAGAACACAATCATAATTTGCTTCCGATACAGAAACAGGCATTTGAACAACATCAGCCATGATTTGTGTTAATAATGATAATCGTGCTAAACCACCACAAATTTGTACAACACGAAAATGATGACCAGCTTTGGTCATTGCTTCAATTATATGTCGACTATTATAAG